CCGGGGCACGAACCCGCGTCCTCTGCATCGGCAGGCGGACCCTCAACCACTGCGCCACCAGGGAAGCCCAGATGGTATGATTTTATATATAATCATTACATTATGGAAACCCAAGAATATCAACTGAAAACCTACTACAAACAATAAGAGAATGTAAAAAGATGAGTGGGCACGAAATGAATATATATATATAATACTTTAGGCTTCATATGTACAAACAGTGATCAGAAGATATGATGGAAGAAAAGAGTATTTATAACATCAATAAGAAAAATCTATAAACTTTACAAGAAATGTGGCAAGATCTAAATAAAGGAAAGATTAAATGCAACCAAAGGAAACAAAAAAATCCAACCACAGAGGGCATGCCATGACCATGGATGAGAGGATGCACTGACAGAACTTAAAAGGCAATGCTCATTAAGCTAATCTTTAAATTTAATTCCATACCAATGAAAACATAAAAATAATTTTTCATTGATTTAGACAAGCTGATTTGGAAGTTAATATTGAAAAATAAAGAACGAAGAAGAGCCGAGAAAATTCTAAGAGTGACAAAGGACTAGCTCCAGAGGATTTAAAAATACATCATAGGGCTTCCCTGGTGGCGCAGTGGTTGGGAGTCCGCCTGCCGATGCAGGGGACACGGGTTCGTGCCCCGGTCTGGGAGGATCCCGCATGCCGCAGAGCGGCTGGGCCTGTGAGCTATTTCCGCTGGGCCTGCATGTCCGAAGCCTGTGCTCCGCAACGGGAGAGGCCGCGACAGTGAGAGGCCCGCATACCGGAAAAAAAACAAAAAACAAAACAAAACAGAAACTCAACATTTACAGTAACAATGCAGTAAATTGGGTTAGGATTAGAAAAAAAGATGACATCAGAACTCCTTTCCTTTTCAGAGGACCTGGATTTACAAGAGGAAGGTTCAGATTTTTTTCCAGTGTATGGTTTGGTTCACCCCCTAACTTTGGCTGAATCATTTAACTTTTCTTTGCCCCACCTCAGAATGACATATAGGCAGCTAACAATCTGACACCTTCCACTCTCCCTCCCACTCTTGGGTCCCCAAGGTAAAGAAATAATGCGGGAGAAACATATCAAGTCTCTGTAGAGTCTCTGGAGAGAACTAGGATATCAAACCCAAGAATTTCACCAGCTGGACTTTTCTTTTAGCTTATCATGATTTACTAAGAGGTGAAAAAAGACATACTTTTTTTAGTAAGAGTGAACATGTAACATATCCAATAATAATTTAATAATTTCACTGTCCAAAATCACTTTGATTTTGGACATGCTCTACATCTGTGTCAGCCGATAAGGTAGCTACTAACCACACGTATTTGCAATGTGGTCAGTGAGACTGAAGAAGTAAAATTTTATTTAATTTTAACTGACTTAAATAGCGACATGTGGCTACTGCTTTGAATAGCACAGGTAAAAGGGATATTTGCAAAACTAATTCTTTTAAGAATGATACTAGTTAATTTATTTAGTATGTTGAAAAAACAAATGGGAGTGGGTGATGGTGGAGGAAGAAACAATATTTCACAAACTATGAAATTAAATAGTTATTTATTCCTAGGAAGAGAAATATGAGATGAATTTTTGTAATTATTATTAAATTTTCTGGGTTTTGGATGTTTTGCTTTAATAGGTTTTCTATGTGTGGTGTTTTAAATTGTTTACTTTTTGAATGATCAGGAATTATTTTAACAAATATATAATAATATTTTAACAAATATAATAATTAGGTTTAAATTTGGTCTATTTCATTCATGGATAGTTCCATTTATTGATCTTATTTTGGCCCTCAATTTGTTTTCTTAGATCTGCAATTGTCATCTCACCTTCAAATGCCTGTGTTGCTGAATTCTCACTTTCATTAAGTATTATTTCTTTAGCAAAAATACTCTTGTGTAATTTTATCCTTTCCTTGGATTATACTGGCTTTCAGATGGGGTTTATCTTTCTTTTGTATGAAACTTTCTTTAATTCTGTTTCTGTAGTAATATGTTGGTGTAGCTGCCATTTATTTCTTTTCATTTTGTCATGATTAATATGGGTAGCTCTTGTACAGTATAGGTGAATTCTCCTTGATAAACTACCTTTCGTGATACCTATTTTTCCCTTCTGAACTAGAGTCTCAAGGCCTGAGGATTATACTTGGTGGTGGTGGGGAGCACCCTAAAGCTCTATGTAGCTTTCCTGGGTTATCTGGGTTCCTTGCTGTTGTGCGATTTTGTCGTGCCCTGTACAAGGACAAGGGTACACTCCTCTGAGGAATGGATCCGATCACGTGGATCTGTGATCAACCCAAACCCAGTCTGAGGCCAGGACAATGGTGAGCCCTAGCAATTTCCGCTTCTGCTAGAATCCTGGGATACAGTTGTCTATGGGTGTTAACTCATTCTTGAAGTCTGGTTCTTTCTAGATTGGGAATATTTTTTAAAAAGCTCAGAATTTGATAAATTCATCTTCTTTCTCTAAATGGCTTTTAAGAGGTGGGAATGGCACCAAGATTTTCTTTCTTTCCTCAACCTCTACTTTTTTTTTTAAACAAATGTTGATACTGGCTTTATTCATAATTGCCAAATGCTGGAAAACAGTCCAAATGTCCTTCAACAGTTGGACCGATAAAGAAACTGTGGTACACCCATACAATGGAATATTACTTAGTGATTAAAAGGAACAAACTGCTGATATACATAGCAATTTGGATGAAACTCGAATGTATTATACTGAGTGAAAGTCAACCTCCACTTTCTGAATTTATGGCACGAACTCCCACATAACCTTTTTCTGAGAGATTGCTGCTTGTGTTTTTTGTTTGTTTCATCAAAAACAAGAGTCTGGTGATACAGTTTCATTTCACATCTTTACCCAGAAGTCTCAGTCTATGCTTTTAAATAAAAGACTTAGCTAAATATGCATGATAAATATTAAAACTCTGGTAGAAGTAAAGCAATTTAAAATTGAGAGAGACGGACAGAATATTAAATAAATAATTGTCAAGTGAATCTCAGAAAATCAGCAAATGTTTATAATAAAATATTAGCTCTTCTGTGGGACTGTATACAGGAATTTCACACCAAAAAAAAAAATCTCCCAATTGTTTAACTTACAGGTAAATATCATTTTAACTTTACTTTAGACCCCCTCTATTCTTTAATGAATACTGTTTAAACTATATTCTTATACTCACAGGCCAAGGCTGTAGATCATTCAGTCCTTTTTCTAATTTCTCAATATCTGGAAACTTTGTGGCTCCATCAGCATCTGCCATAAGGATCTTTTTTCCTCGAGAACTGAATACACCCTGGATTAAAAAATTTCAAAGAAAAGAAAGTTGCTTAAAATCAAGGTTAAATTCGGTGACATATCAGTTTGTTAAATTCGGTGACATATCAGTTTGTACTTAAAATATCCAAGAATTACATATTAGGTATGAAATGGCAGAAAGAGGCCGAAGTTCACTGAACGCAAATTACATTGATAAGATCTTTCCAAAAGTAGCTAATGTCTATTTCATGATTTTTAAAACTTTGTGAAGTCATACTATTAATACCTTGGAAAATATCAAGATAAGAAAATAGATTTGGATAAGTTAAAGATATGCTGCATCAGTAAGAATAAAAATGTAAAATACCTATCATAAATATTATATCTGTATTATATATGTATTATGCTGCATAAAAGGGATCAGGGGTTCCTTACAGCAGCATATGAAGAACAAAACATAGACAGCTTTGCTATGACATGCATCATAACATGATAGATCTTCAGTATCTTTTATTATGGAATCTAAAGTATTTTAAATTAATTGTTGAATAAAGAAATGTGGAATGTCACTAAAATTTAGAAAGTATGGATATATTCAAATGTTACTTTGTTATCTGAGGCATCTGACACTTAGCAAAATTATGCCATTCAATTTTGAATTGATTGGTCTTTTGGGCAGAATATGGCTCTACGAGTGTATATTTCACCCAGAAATAAACTATGCATCAACTCTTCACTTGATCTTAGCCAAAAGGCCAAAAAGTGATTTATGCATCAACTCTTAATTTCATGGTGCATGTGAGTGAATACAGTGTGTCTTAAGTGTAAATATATTTATGGTTTGATACAGAATACAGCTTTGATGTCACTCAGCAGTGTGGCTATAGATAAGATGTATGTATACAAATCTAGACAGAAATTTGATCAATTATTGTATAGTAAGTATAAGGCTAATTAGTATCTGTAATTTTATCATATCTGTTAGAATATGGGTAAAAAAGCAGAAATAAAAATGTTATATTTAATCTATAAACATTATTAAGTTTTGGAAAAGAGTAAACATTACAAGGCACAAAATCTGTAGCTATACGTTTGAAATAAAAAAAACAATAAAGGACTATTTCAATGATACATGATAAGGCTGAACTGTAGGTTGTTACACAATATTAATGGAAAATTGCCTTCGCCCTCAAACTTGTTTCAGCCACCTCATCGGTTTTTTTAAAGGGGGCTTTTGAATGCCTGCTACTCTCACATCCTATCTGGATGGCCTCCACTTCACTGCCAGACTTCTTGGAAAGAGTCTAAGTTAGCTGCTTCCACTGTTGTCCATTCAGTCACACCCTCTCCCCTCTGTCTGATTTTTCTTCTTTCTCATATGCCTCTTTGCCCCAAGTCTTGGTTCTTGGCTCTCCTTTTCTTCTATACCCTCTTCCTTGCCAACTGAATGGCTTCAACTCTCAGCTGATACATGTGGATGACTCTCACACCCTCTCTACAAGGCTATTCTGGATACCACTACTTGGCATCTCAAACTTAGTATGGCTCAAACTCAACTAAACATATTGTTTCTTAAATCAGCTCCTCTTCCAGTGTTTCACCTCTTCTCTAACGACATCCTCCCCCTCTCAGGTACCCAAGGCTACTTACTGGTAACTCATTGCTCTCTCCGATCACCTGACACAATTCTACCTCACTTTGCATACCTCTCATATTCATCTTTTCCTCTTCCTCTGTTGTGTCAGCATCATAATCCAAATAACCACTGTGCTGGCTGCTGTCACTCTGTCAATGGTGAAAGTCTAACAGCCCCTAGCCTAAAGTCTGTGATCTACAAGCACATAACCCTCCAGCATATCTCTAAAGTCAAGCCTCATGTACCACTAGAAGTTCCTTTGTTGTGTCTTTGTTCATGTTCTCCTCTGCAAGCTCCCTGCCTCGACTTTTGCCTAGAGAATTCCTAATCCTCCTTCAAGAGTCCATCCAGAATTTATCTCCTGTGGGAAGTCTTTGCTGCTCCTCCCAGAGCATTTATACTGGAGCATTTATAACACTAGTGAACTATGATACCCTAAGGACAGGTATCTTTCATCTTGGCATCTCTAATGAAGTACGTGGCACTTAGTGAGCACTCAAATGTGGGCTGAATAAATAAATGAATGGGTGCATTTAAAGCCCACGACGATATTGCATCCATCTGATTTTCTTTTTCTCCTTTCTGCATATCCTGCGACCCTGTCAGAGCAAACTCACTGCTTCTAGTACATACCCCAAGAGTTCCTACTTCTGTCTTTTCTTGCTCTGCTGACTGGCATGCTCTTCTCTCAAATCTTTCTCCATATGGGATCAGGGAGGTGAGGAGCACAATTTCATGGTTAAATCAACCCAATCCAAATCTTGCCTTAATATCTATGTGACCTTGAGTAAGTCACTTTACCTACCTATGCCTCAATTTCCTCATCTATATAATCAAAATAATAGGACCTAACTCACTGAGATGATGTGAGGAGGTTTAAATGTGATAATTATGTTGAAGTGGTAAATTTCTGCTGTCCAGCTCAAAATAATCAGTCAGTAAGTGGAAGCCAGGGTTCACCATCGTTGGAGGCCTGGCTTCAGGGACATATCTTTTGTGAAGTTTGCTATTTTCCTCAGGTGCCCAAGGTTGCTAGTTACCTACCTAATACCTATTCTTTTCTTCTTCCTTACAAATGGAACCCTGATTTGGCCGAGAATGAAAATGTCAGAAAAACATCTCTCAGCCTTCCTTGGAAATAGGGGTGGACCCGTGACCCTGTTCTGGCCAGTCACTGGGTGGAGCTTCTGGGAAAGTTCCTTAGAAGGGGCAAACTAAGAAGGGGCGTGCGTCTTTTGCCCTCTGCCCTTCCTGTCTGGAATGAGGAGGTAATGGCTGGTGCTCCCGCAGTCACCTTGTATGCAGGTGGGCAGGAGGAAGAGGGAATGAAAAGGCAGGAAGCTGGGTTCCTGAGGACACGGAGTTGTTGAATGAGCCCTGGACTGCCTACATCTAGACTTCTTTTGGAGGCACAAAATAAATCAATTACCTATGTCATTTAAGGCACTGTTGTTTGGATTTTCTTTCACATATCTTGCTTTTAGATCTTTTTCAGTGTATCTTGATTCCTACCTGACATGCCACTGCTGAAAGTAACCTCTTCTTTCCTGGAACTTCTACTGTACCTCATCTGTGCCTCTCTCATAAATACAATCACTTTTTGTATTAGACTGTAAATTACATCAGGAGTGACCATAGCAGATGTATCTTTTTTTTTTCAGTTGCACTGTGCAGTTTTTGGGGATCCTAGTTCCCAGACCCCTGCAGTGGAAGCACGGAGTCCTAACCACTGGACCACCAGGGAAGTCCCAGATTTATCTTAATTCACACTACTATGTTTTGCATAGCACCTTCATATAGGTAAAACTCAATACATGAAAGCATTTTGTAAACTGCAAAAAATCATGTAATCTTATTATCTGTTAACTATGTCAAAGACACATAAGAGACAGAAGGCAATGTTTTCAACTTTGAATAAGATAAACATTTTCCTGAGTCACCCAGTGTGTTATAGATATGGCATGATATTTTTAAACTTGATATTATATATACATATATGCATGAAGTTATTATTAAAAGCAATTTACCACTAATTTGAAAGACTAGTATTTAACTAGCTGGCTGTAGAACATACATGTACTGTAATCTGCAAAAGAAGTTATTCAAAATACCTTTATATTTCAAATAAAAATGTTGAAATTAGGTATTACCATCCTAATAGCTCCACCTTTCCCACGATTCTTCACCAGCGTTATCACTCGTACTTTGTCACTTCCATATTTCTGGCAATATTTAAAAGCTACCTGTCAAATTATATAAAAGTCAGAATAAAATCAATTTGAATTCCAAGACAGCAATATAAACTGGGTCTCTGATTTTGGCTTAAACACTGCTATTCTAATTGCCCTCTCCTTGTGACTAGATTATACCCACCGCACATTTTGGTGGCCAAGAGTTGTTGAATTCCTGGTGCCAAGATCCGATACTGACTACTAGGTTGAAGTCACAATTCACTTTCCTGCAGAGGAAACACCAGAACAGGTGTTCTGACCTGACTACTAGGTCGAAGTCACAATTCACTTTCCTGCAGAGGAAACACCAGAACAGGTAGTAGCCATCTCTTATTCTCTTGACTTTTTTGCCTAGGCTACCAAGCTGCTAGAAAAAGTAAAAATAAAACTCATGCTCTAATTGACTGGTACACATTTATGATCGGGCTCCCAATACTGCCTAATGACCTCTTAGTTGTCAGCAACTGACCTTATTCCCCAGAGAAGCTGTTTGTATCCTAGACCATTTTCCCCAAATCTTCTCACTCGAATTCCTGGCTCTCAGCAGATAATCATCCATGACCTGTCCTCTTCTGAATCTTCAATCTCTTCCTCTTTGCTGGGTCCTCAGCCTCTAACATGCTCAAAACTCCAGCATCTTAAACATTTTCCTTTGACTTCACTATTATCTTAAGCGACTGACATTACTCTTTGATCTAGTATCAAAGTCATGAAATGGTGATCTGTATTTGCTATCAACATCTCTTTGGCCCTCATTTAGGCTTCAAGCCACTGGGGTGTGGCTCATGCCCTTTGCTTTTCCATATCACCCTCCGCAGAACCTCTTCATCACCTCTTGCCTTCTGACGCTCATTTCTATAGGCAGTCGTGAAGTTATTTTTTTTAAATTTTTATTTATTTATTTTTGGCTGCATTGGGTCTCCATTGCTGCGTGTGGCCTTTCTCTAGCTGTGGTGAACGGGGGCTACTCTTTGTTGCGGTGCGTGGGCTTCTCATTGCAGTGGCCTCTCTTGTTGCGGAGCACAGGCTCTAGGCATGCGGACTTCAGTAGCTGTGGCATGTGGGCTCAGTAGTTGTGGCTCGCAGGCTCTAGAGCACAGGCTCAGTAGTGGTGGCACACAGGCTTAGCTGTTCCGTGGCACGTGGGATCTTCCTGGACCAGGGCTCAAACCTGTGTCGCACGCATTGGCAGGTGGATTCTTAATCACTGTGTCTCCAGGGAAACCCCTGTGAAGCTATTCTTATCTGGTGTTTGCACTCCTGTCTTCAGACTCAGCTCAAACACCATTTCTTCTTCCTAGCTTCCACGCCCATCGTCACCTTCCCCAGGGAAAAAGTATAATTCTAATAAGTATTCCTAATGCATTTTCCAATTCAACTGTTACTTCTCTTATTTGTAGATCTTCCCACTAGGCACAGGCTCATGACTCTGGGATGCCTGAAACTTTCCTGACTTCATTATTATTAATAATCAAAGTCATGGAACAGTGATCTATATTTGCTATAAATCACTCTGCACCACTCATTTAGTAATGAACTGTAGCCCCTCCCCACTTGGCTATAAGCTACTTAAAGCCAATATATGTGTGTGTGTGTATATATATATATATATATATATATATATATATATATGTATATATATATTTGGCTGCTTTGGATCTTGGTTGCTGCACACAGGCTTTCTCTAGTTGCGATGAGTGGGGGCTACTCTTGTTGCGGTGTGCAGACTTCTCACTGCAGTGGCTTCTCTTATTGCAGAGCATAGGCTCTAGGCGTGTGGGCTCAGTAGTTGTGGCAATGCAGGCTCTAGAGCGCGTGGGCTCAATAGTTGTGGCTCATGGGCTTAGTTGCTCTGAGGTGTGTGGGATCTTCCTGGACCAGGGCAATCCCTGTGTCCCCTGCATTGACAGGTGGATTCTTAACCACTGTGCCACCAGGGAAGTCCCAAGGATTAATATTTTAGTGCCTGACACACAGCCTGGAGTTGATTAATCTCAGTGAACAAGGGTAGCCACCGTCCTTTGTACATAGTCTTATTACAGGACTATGGTGGCACTGTTAGCTGCTTACCCAGCAAACACCACCTTCTTCCTTGCTCCTTTGACCCCAGTCTGCACAGTGACAGTGTCTGCAGTCCTAGGAGATGAATCATGATTGGTCCAAATCCTCTTTACCACGTATTTATACTTTCCCAGCCCCTCTTGCAGGCAAGGGTAGCCATGTCACCAAAGTTCTGGCTCATGGACTCTAGGGGAGGTCTGCTGGAGGGTGGGAGCTTCTTGTGAAGGTTTTTATTCCTGGTTATAAAAGGAGAGAGGCACACAAGAGAATTCTTAATGTCCTGACTGTCTCAACTGCCTCAGGATCAGTGATATATGGTGCTGTGCCCATTTGATGATGAGGAGTGTCTGGTAACTGAAAAGACGTGGATCCAGCCACATGACACTGTCCAAATGCTGAAACAACAATGTCCAGACCTTCTGGCGTATGAGATACCTTGTTACATAAGCTCCCCTCATGAGACACTTTCTAACTGATGACAATATCGAACACATTGTGCTCTATTTCTCTGGAGCGTGTTTCCAGTATTGGATGTGAAGTCCTGGAAGGCAGAGGCAGGGCTCCATCTTTGTATTTTAGCACCAGTCCCACTCCTTGACTCATGTTAACGGCTCAAGACACGTCCACTCAGAGAACATTTATTTGAGTTGCTGATGTTTATTCTGGGGTGGCAGAAAGCATGATAGTCATCATAAGACCCAAACCAGGAAGATGAAGTCACTGGGCATGTAGCTGAGTGCACTGAAAGGCACTTGACCAGGCGAGGACGAGGGCTCTTTCTAAAGGGGACGTGATCTGGCTTTGAAGGAAGCAAATACCGCTGAGGCCCACCTGCTTGGCTTACACAGACACTGACACTTCACAGTATGCCCTGCAGAACATGGCAGCAGCTGACACTTACTCACCATTTGTGAGTTCAGCTCACACGGAATGCTTACCTTTCTGGCATCTTATGTTATTTGAGGGTATAATAAATATCTCTGTACAAATGCAATACGCCCTTATTCTGTACTTTGGCATAAATTTTACCCCTTAGTTTAAAATTCCTTAAGAACAAGAACTATATCTAAATTTTTTCCCAGACCCCTTGGAGAGTGAAACGTGTTACGGGAAGATAATAAATACTCAACTTAGGGGAAAAGAGGTTGTTTTTCTTTTTAAAAAAAAAAACCTTTTACAAACTATGATTTCAAGTTTTTTGTTTCTCCCAACCTTGGGAACAAGTGTGAACCTCTCCCTCTTGGATCCTTCCAGAGAGCAGCCTGAGACTCACATGGCAAAAGGCCTTGAAGGAAATACTCTTCAGGAAAAGCTGCTGCTTCTCAGCTGGGCTGAGGCTGCTCTGTCATCTCAGCAGTAGATGCCCGATGCTGACTTTCTACACCACTCCCTTCATATACTAATAAACTGTTGGACAGTTTGTGTTCATCTTTCATGTCATACTATTCCAAGTGCAGCACCTACTCTTCATAACACAGATCCACCAATACTTTCAGGCCTCTATGCCTTTGTTTACGTTATTTTTTTTTTTCAATTTGAATATACTATCCTCCATGTTCCTAGTCATTATCACCCTTAGAGGTTTAGTTCAAAAGTCACTTCTCTTTCTCTCAAATTCTTTTCAGCATCTTTCTCTTTGGCTCCATTTTTACCTGCATTACAGAAATTGGAGCCATGCTGCCTGACTGTCCTGGGGGCTCCTTATACCAGGGGGCAGGCACGTGTACCTATGGGGTCCAGCCAGTGTCCAGCACTTCCTGCACAGCTGGAGTGGACCAAAACCATAACTGATGAATAATCAGGTGAACAGATATTTCCCTGTATATTTAAGATCTATTATGTTGCCATTTAACAGGAATATTAATAGCACTGTAAGTGAATCTTTTATTATAGAAACATGAGTGTCAAAAAACAAAATGTGAAGCAGTCATAATAACAAAAATACTTTGATGTTTGGAGAGTAATTTATCAGGATCACTGACAAGATTTAATACATGTACTACTGCAGGATTAATGCACCAGGGCCCAGCAGTTACAGGTCTAGGAATGCAGGAAGGAGAGAGGATAAACCCTAAGATACTGTCACCACATGGGTCAATCTAGAAGGGACTGTGGGGTAGGCCAAAGGACATACCCAATCCCCAGGGGCAGATATGAAGGTGTCTTCCTATTTGCATGACTACTTTAGAAACCATAAGTTAAGGTGGAGCATAGAGAAACAAATTATGCTTAGAATTAAAGGAACCATAAATTGGTGGGCAAAGAGGGTTCCCCAGAGGCCAAGGTGAACTGTTGTTATGTGTATTCTCTCCCTATTTGGTGACCTTCCAAGCTTCCCTGGTCTCAAGGAGCAGTGGAAAGGCAGGTATGTTTTCCAGCTTCTCATATATGAAATCTCTCTGCTTTTTCTACTACCCACTTATGTTAAATGGAGAGTATCTGGCACACCTTTAGGGTTCTCTGACGAGCGGAAATATGATTTTACATTTGCAAATTATTCCATCTGTTGGCAATTCTAAAAGCAAGTTTACTTACCTTTGAAGTCTCGTCTTTGCTGCCATCATCAACTACTATTACTTCATAAGTGAACGTAGGATCTTGTTTCTGCAAGAAGCAAAAATAAAATACCACAATTTGGTATGACTGCCATCAAGATTTCTAATAAAGTTGTAAGGAAGTTAAAAAACAACTGTTTTACAAACAACCCAATTGAAAAATGTACAGAAGACCTTAATAGACTTTCTCCAAAGTAGACATACAGATGGCCAGTAGGCACATGAAAAGATGCTCAACATACTAATTATTAGAGAAATGCAAATCAAAACTGCAATGAGGTACCACTTCATACCAGTCAGAATGGCCATCATTATAAAGTCTACAAATAAATGCTGGAGAGGGTATGGAGAAGAGGGAACCCTCCTGCACTGCTGGGGGGAATGTCAGTTGATACAGCCACTGTGGAGAGCAGTATGGAGGTTCCTCAGAAAACTAAAAACAGAATTACCATATGATCCAGCAATCCCACTCCTGGGAATACACCCGGACAAAACTATAATTCAAAAAGATATATGCACCCCTATGTTCACAGCAGCACTATTCACAATAGCCAAAACATGGAAACAACCTAAATGTCCATCAACAGATGAATGGATAAAGAAGATGTGGTATATATAT